AAGATCCAACACACCTTCTTAATAAAAAAAAAAAAAAACCAAACCCTTAGAAAACAGGAATAAAATGGAATTTGCTCAAAATAGGGAAAAATATATGAGTAAAACAAGGAACTACTATCATTCTCAATGGATAAAAACTAAAGGCAATCCAATTGTGAACAGGGACCAAGCAAAGATGCTCACTTTCACCACTCCTCTGCATCAGGGATGCATCATGTCCCCATACCTTTTCAATTTGTATGCAGAACAAATCATTTGGGAAGCAGGGCTTTATGAGGGAGGGGAGTGTGGCATCAAGATCAGAGGAAGACTCATGAACAATCTACAATATGCAGATGACACAACCTTGCTTGCTGAAACTGAAGGAGACCTGAAACACTTGCTACAAAAGGTCAAGGACTGTGGTATTCAATATGGATTGAAGCTCAACAAAGATTCTCATCACCAGGCCAATTGGCAGCACTATAAAAGATGGAGAAGAGATTAAGGTTGTTAGTAATTACAGCTTGTTCAACTCCACAATAAACACTCTTAACATCAGCAGTCGGGAAATCAAAAGACTAATTGCACTGGGAAAATCTGCTGTTATGGAGCTCTCCAGAGTGCTGAAGAGCAACAGTGTCAGTCTAGAGACAATGGTGCACCTAATCCAAGCCATGGTCTTCTCAATTACTTGTTATGCTTTGGAAAGTTGGACAATGACTAAGGATGACAGAAGAAGAATGGATGTCTTTAAATTGTGGTGCTGGAGAAAAGTCTTGAACATACCATGGACTGCCAGAAAAAGAAATAGGTCTGTCTTGGAGAGGGTGAAACCAAGTCTAGAGGCTAGGATTTTGAAACTCAGTCTCACTTATTTTGGGCAGGTGGGCAGGAGAGATCAGTCCTTGGAAAAGGACATCATGCTTGGAAGGGTGGATGGACAGTACAGGAAAGGGAGACCCCAGATGAGATGAATTGATAGAGTAACTGGGATTATGGGGTTGGCGTGTCAGAATTAGTGAGACTGGCTCAGGACAGGGAAGGGTTCAGAGCTGCTGTACATAGGGTCACTACATGTTATAGGCAACTCAATGGCACATAAGAACAATAACATACAATGACAGGTTTGGAAGCAGGACTGGCACCCACTTCCCAAATAACATGGTTCCAGAAACTCTATGAACTTTGATAAATGTTGATAGGTGTAGAGGGGTTTCAAGCCTTTTGTTCACAGGGTCACTATGAGTCGTGCTCGACTCGAAGACAATCAACAACAACAACATTCAATATTGTACTGGAACTACCTGCTAGTGTAGTAAAAAAGAGAAGGAAATGGATAAAAGAAATGGAAAGACTTTTCACAGAAGACATTCAGATGGCAAACAGACACATGAAGAAATGCTCAAAATCACTGGCACTAAGAGAGACGAGAATGAAAACCACAATGAGATATGATCTCAACCCAGTAGCAAGGGCAAAGTTTAACAGGACAACAAGCAATACATTTTAGAAAGGATGTAGATATATTGGAACACTAATACACTGTTGGTGGGACTGTAAAATAGTACAACCATTCTAGAAGGACATTGGGTGTTTCCTTAAAAAGCTGAACACACAAATTCAATATGACCTAGCTATTCCATTGCTAGAAATACACCTCAAAGAAAATAGAAGGAGTTGTAAACTGAGATTTGCACACTGATGTTAACAGCAGCGTTATTCACAATAGCAAGAAAAGAACAGTCCAAAGGTCCATCAACAACTGGATTGAGAAATTGTGGTACATTCACATGATGGAATACTATGCATCACTCAGGTGCAACAATTTTAAAAATACTATATAACATGGGAAAGCCTAGAGAGGATTATGCTGAGAGGACTTAGTCTCATAAATACAAATATTGCATTAGACCATTATTGTAAAAACAGGGTAACTAGCCAGATGTGTACAAAAGTCCAAAAGAAATAGAGGTGGTGACAGAAGGGTGGAGGGTAGGGACTGTGGGGAACTCATGGAGTCAGAGAGCTTGGTGGGTGGAGGACAAGGGGAAGGTTTAGGAAAGATGCAGTGGGGACCTGAAAAGACAGGGTAATAGTCGGTATAAATCAATGGTGATTAATGTATTGGAATGATCATATGAAACAAATGTGAATGAAAGAATGTGTGAAACATAGTACATATGAATGAAATAGAATATTTGAATTTTGTATGCAAACAAATGTTGAATAAATTTGAAAAATAATAAAGCTAATTAAACTTGACTTAAAATATGTTTACACTGATTTTCATCTTATGGTTTAGTCATATATTAATTTAAACACAAAAATATAAACGTATAGAAATGGAATTAGAAAATTAGTGGATTTATATAAATTAATCAGTAGAGTCTCACTGTCTTTAAATAGAGAAGAAAAAAATGCAAGTATTTATCTTAACATTAATACATATTAGAACTCAGACCAGAAAGACTTTTGTGTTTGTCTAGCAAATATCACCAAATAACCTTTAGCCTAGGAGACAAAGGAGCAAAAACTGTTGTACAGCATTTACTTATTTTTTGTCATGAGAAAAGAGCTGCAAACTGTAAAACAACTATACAAAGGAGAATCTCACAAAGTGCTTTAAAAGTGAAATTTCTCATTTACATGCCTAAATAACATTTTAAAGGTATCTTTTGCTAACAGAAGAAAAATTCATTTTAACGTAACTAAAAGAGAAAGAAACACATACATATGCTTGACTAATGGAAAATAATCAACATGCAAAGTAAAAGATAAGCACACATGTACACACGGCAAACTATAATAATTTACAACATGATTTAGTTTTACCCTGGTAGAACAATAAAGAAAACATCCTAAAGAATAATTATTAGGTAAGAAAACAAAATGACTGTAGACGGTTTAGTGATGACAAGTTTCTGCATTGCAATGGAAAGAACAATGAAAAGAAAGAACAATGGAAAGAACAAAGGCCTGATCTAGATGTCACTCTGTCACTTTCAAGATATAAAGAGCAAGTTCTGAGAAGAGAAGCAAAGCATAGTGATTAAACGCCTAGAGTCCCAATTTTTATCTACCATTAAGAACTGTTTGACTTTGCAAAGTTATTTTATCTTTTTATTTCCTGAGCCATAAAAATGGAGAGATACCATTTTACAGGTCGTTAAAAGTATTAAATTATATAATACATAACAAGCATTTAGAGAGGCCCTGACCAAGCATAAATGCTACCGAATCTTCAATACTATTAATATTGGAACATCTATGAGTTTTTACACTTATATGCTAAATTAAAAATTACATTGGTTATTTTTATTTATTTAAATTCTTGGACATATGATTTGATATATGTTTCTTTTTTTAAGTAAGAATTCTGTTTCTTTATTAACAGCTTTTATTCTTTTTAAAAAAAAATTGTTAATTTTAATGAACATTTACAGAGTAGACAAGTGATATTAAGAATGTTTAAAAAAAAGAATGCCTTAAAATTAGAATATCTTTTAAAGAACATTCAGATTTGAGATGCTACTTTCTTTAATAATTATTACTAATATCTCACATCCTCATGTGAGCACAGAGTGTAACAATGTAATAGTCTAGTAATAATTTAAAGAAAAAGATATCAGAATTATTATATAGATAGATGTATATAATTATCTAATTTGTATCACCCAAATTTAAGCAGGCTCAAAATGTACAAGATAACACTGCAATTTGGCAGCTGATGACAAAGTTATTTTTTCAAGTTGTAAACTGTCAGCAACCGAAGATTTTTCCCATTTAGAAGAAAATATTTCTACCAGTTGCAGCAACTAGAGGAAGTAAGATCACGTATAGATTTCATTCCAAACTAAATGAAAAGGTGCCCCCCCTTAAAATTCTATAATTAGTATATCTTGACTTGTGCAAATAAATAACCTAGTTAAGAGTTTTAAGAAATGATTCAAGATATTAATAAGATTAGGCATTATATGTATAACAACAATCCGGAACAAGAGGTACATTGCAAAGTGGGCTAAGGGAGTGGAGAGGGAAGAAAATACGCATTAATGAATGAATTAAAAATATTAAAAAATTAACAAATGCTGGCGAGGTTGTGGAGAAACTGGAACCCTTATTCATTGTTGGTAGGAGTGTAAAATGGTGCAACCACTGTGGAAGGTATAGCACTTTCTCAAAAAGTTGCAAATAGAGACACCATTTGACCCAGCAATTCCACTACTGGGAATATATCCCAAAGAGACCATAACTGACATCCAAGCAAATATATGCACACCCATGTTTATCACGGCTTTGTTCACAATAGCAAGGAGCTGGAAACAACGCAGGTGCCCATCAACAAACGAATGGATAGAGAAGCTGTGGTATATTCATACAATGGAATACTACGCTGCATTGAAAAACAAGGAACTCATGCAATATTATTCAAAATGGGTGAGCCTGGAGGACATTATGCTGAGTGAAATATCTCAGTCGCAAAAGGACAAATATTGCATGGTGCCACTGTTGTAAAATGAGACTGATATCAGGGTTCGGGTAAGACTGAGAATAACTGGATAAATTGTGTATACTGCACTGAAACAGATGAAGGAGTGAATAATTTAAAAATGATGTATGATAGGGTATTATGGTTATCACAAGAGTCCACAATTAAGGTTGCGTAGTGGAATGTACTTGGGGTGGTGGGAGGGGTGTGGGGAGATTGTGTACCAGGGAGGGAGTCTTTCTTTTACTTTTGAAAGAGAGGAGGGAACTGGGGGGCGGGGGGTGTAGGGCTAGGCTGGGAAAGAAGTGCAGCAATGAATGAATGGAAATCCAAAATCTCTGTAAATGCTCATTAAAATTATTTTTAAAAAATTACTAAAATGATTAAAAATTCAGTTCAAATTATACTTTCAGTTGGTATTGAGTATAATATGAAACAGCTTTAGTACACAGAGATCTAGTATTTAAAATATTGAAGCATAGAGAAAATGTTTCTTAAGCTTAATTAAACACATCACAAAAATCCTTACCTCCTGCATACATAACAGCCAGCATGATGGACGATATCCACGCTATTTCACTGTAGGATGTGCTGAATATTTCCTGAATTTCTTTGAAGAATACTGTGACAGCTTTAGGGAATGCATATGAAAATCCAATGGAGATAAAAGATGCGCCAACAACCACCCAGCCCCATCCTCCATCAGGAGGGGTATACTGAAGTTGGGTCTCTCCTCCTGGGGGTGGCATTTCTGCGTCTCTACTTTAAATACAGTAACCTATACAAAACAAAAAAGAAAAACCAGTTACACTATAACCAAGACCCTTCTTGCACATTTCACCAAAACAGCACTTTCCAGTTATAACTACAAGATGGATTTTATGAGTATATTTTGTAATGCTAATATTCATGGTTATCAGACCATTTCAAAACAAGATGTTATGATATATAAAGATTTTATTCTCATAGGCTAAAGAACAGAAGCATTTAATTTCTATTTAAAAAAAGTTACTGTATTGATAAGAATTTAGATCTGAAACATAGCCCCAACCAAAAAAAATAATCTAAAAAAATTATCTCAATCCACTTTCTAAACAGATGAAAAAGTTTCCATCATTTATAATATTTTTTCATTTAAAAGACATTTAGATTTCATATTAAAAAGAGACTACAAAATACTGATAGATCGTGAAGAGATTGAGATTGTTGACAGCTTCAGTTTGCTTGACTCTACAATCAACACTTTTGGTACCAAAAATTAAAAAGATAAATTGCATTAAGGAAGTCTGCTGTCAGAGATCTCTCCAAGGAACTGAAGAGCAACAACAGCAGTCTGGAGACAAAGGTGTGCCTGATAAAGGCCATGGTCTTTACAGTTACTTGCTATGCCTCAGAGAGCTGGACAATGACTAGGGATGATAGAAGGTGAGTTGATTCCTTTGAGCTGTGGTGCTGGAGAAGAGAGCTGAATACACCATTGACTGCTAGGAGAAAACAAGTTTGTCCCAGAGAGGGTGAAACCAGGCTGCTCCTTGAAGGAAAGGATTCTGAAGCTCTATCTGACATTCTTTGGACATGTTGCAAGGCGGGATCAGTCCTTGGAGAGGGATGTCATGCTTGTGAGGATGGAAGGACTGCGCAGGAAAGACCCTCAATGAGATTCAGTCACTAGGGTAATAGGGGTGGGCGTGTTGGAGACGTTAAGATTGGGAAGGGATAGAGCTGGGTTTAGGGCTCTTGTATAAAAGATCACGATGAGTTGCAGGCAACTTGACAGCACATAACAACAAAAAGTTGTGGGTGTATTTTAGAATTTTTCCTATTGTGTTAAGTGAAAACATAAAAAATGTCCAGATCTATTTTCTAAATCTCTCAGATTAGGAATTGAATGGACTAGTCTATGCATTAGTTTCATTAGGAATAGTCTCTGGATTGCTACAAATATGTACTGGAGAAAATACAACTAAGTTGCTTGCTCCTTAGAGGCAAGGATGATGAAATTTCATCACATATACTTACGGTAATACTTTTGATGATGTTATGAAGAGCTAGTCCTTGGAAAAAGAATTCATGCTTACAAAGTTAGAGGGTCCAGCAAAGAGAGGAAGACCGTCAGTTAACAAAACTAGATAGACACAATGACTTTAGCAACGGGCTACTATATATTAGGAATGATGAGGAAGACACAAGACAGACAGAGCAAGGTTCAGATCCACTGTAATCCAAGGTCGCTATGAGTCGTAGTGCCAGTTTGATGGCATCTGATAACAACAAAGTAGTTCTATCTAGAATGATGGTGCTTGGGGTTTTTTTATCAGACAGATGCCACTAGTTATCAGTATCCCTTTTCAGCAGGAAGTAGCTAAGAGAATACGCCATCACCTTTTCCTTATGAATCAGGGTGAAGTCTCTCTCAGGGAGGAGAGATAGGGAATGGCAAAGGACACACTGACAAAGGAGATTAGTCAAAACTGGCTTCAACAAGCACTGTGGCAATTGGACAATTAAAGCAGACATTCTGAGGGGGGAAGAAGAACGAACTGGGAAGGAGGGTAGAGAAAACAGTGCAACAATGAATGAATGAAAACCCAAATCTCTGTAAATGTTCACTAAAACTAATAAAATTTAATAATAATTTTAAAAAAGTTAGGAAAAGCAAGCAATGGCAAAATGCTAAGACTGGTTAAGTGGGACAGAGTTACTCTCTCTAAATTTCAACTGTGATTTATAACATGGATTCTTGTTCTCATGTAAGAGAGGGAAGAAAACAAAAATAAGCTGATGTAAATTCAATTAAAATGGCAATGGATTTTTTAAAAAAGACAAAAAATAAATCTCAAAAAGATACTAGGAAAAGTGACAAAAGTTAAAATGAAACTTTCTAAAATATAATCAATATCACATATGAGAAAAAGAAAAATTGAACCTACAATGACATATCCATGTTCCACACACATAGCTGGCAAAAAAAGCTTAAGTTTGGCAATGGAATGTGGGCAAGGATAATGGGAAAAATTGTTGTTGGGACTATTTAACTGTCTGGAAAGCAATTTCAATGTAAACAACCTATATAAATAAATCAGCAACTGAGGAACTGAACAACAGATTTCAAAGGGCAGCTTGGGAAGACAAAGCAAAAATATTGTAACGAAATGTGCAAAGAGCTAGAGTTAGAAAATCAAAAGAGCTGAACTTATTTAGCATTTTTTAAGCTGAAGGAACTGAACAAATTCAAGCTACAAGTTGCAATACTTAAGGATGGTTTGGGCAGAAAATTAAATGATCCAAGAAGCATTAAAAGAAGATGGAAGGAGTATACTGAGTGACTGTACCAAAGGAATTGGCTGACACAGAGGAATTTCATGAAACAACGTATAAGAGTCTGTGATGATGAAGGAAGAAGTTCAAGCTGCACTGAAAGAACTAACAAAAAACAAAGCCCCAGGAATTTTTGACCTACAAATTGGCATATTTCAACAAACAGATGCTGTCCTGGATGTGCTCACCAAGCTGTGCCAAGAAATCTGGAGGAGAGTCATGTGGACTCTCTATTTGTTCCCATTTCAAAGAAAGGAAAGTATGGAAATTATTGAACAGTATCACTGAAATCATATCCAGGCAAGATTCTGCTGAAGATTATCAAAAATGGACTGGAACAGCACATCAACAGAAACTGCCTGAGGTGTAGGCAGGGTTTAGAAGAGGTTGTGGAAGTAGGGATATGTTTCATTGATTATGCAAAGGCATTTGACTGTGGCTGACTCTGAGAATATACTGAGAATCCCAGAATATTTGATTGTGCTTGCGTGAAACCTGTATTTGAACCAGGCGGCAGTCATCAGAACAGCAAGGAGATATTGCATGGTTCAAAATTGAGAAGAGTGTGTGCCTGGGATGTATTCTGTCTCCACACCTTTTCAATCTGTATGCAGAACAGGAGGCTGGGCTGTATGAGGAGGAATGTAGCATATTCTTCAGCAACCTGCATTTTGAAGATGACATAACCCTCCTTACTGAAACTGAGGAGAACATGAAGTGCTTGCTACAGAAAGTCAAGGACTGCAGCCTTCAATATCGACTGAAGGTCAACATCAAGAAAATATTCTCACCACTGGGCCCCAACTGGCAGCATCATGATAGACAGTGAAGAGATTTGAGATTGTTAACAGTTTTAGTTTGCTTGGCTCCACAAACAACACATTTGGTACCAGCAGCCAGGAAATAAAGAGATGAATTGCATCGGGAAAGTCAGCTGTCAAGGACCTCTCCAGAGTACCGAAGGGCAACAATGTCAGTCTGGAGACTCAGATGTGGCTGATCCAGGACATGGTCTTTCCAATCACTTGCCATGCATCAAAGAGTTGGACAATGACTAGAGATGCTAGAAAGAGAATTGATGCCTTTGAGCTGTGGTGCTGGAGAAGAGTGTTTAATATACCACAGAACGCAAGGAGAACAAACAGGTTTGTCCTAGAGAAGGTGAAACCAGGCTGCTCCTTGGATGCATTCTGAGACCATCGATGAAATTGAATGATTCAGTGACTGGGGTAATGAGGATAGGTGTGTCAAAGAGAGTAAAGTTAGCACAAGATAGAATAGGTTTCAGGACTATTGTATATCGTGTCACTGTGAGTTGCAAGCAAAACAACATAAAAACAACAACATATAAATAAATGCCACATTTAGAAATCGTTTTAGAAACAGTCTTTCTTGGTCAAATGTAACATAAGTAAAACTATTTACTGCGGCATTATTTATAAAAGTAGAAGTGTGGAAACAAATTATATTAGTTCATTAATGATAAATTGGTTAAGCAAACCATGATAAAGTCTTACAAAGGAATATTATGTAACCACTGAAAATACCGGTTAGCTCTAGACTGATCTCCAAGCCAAATTACTAAAACAAAAAAAAGGCCACGTATAGAACAAACAATATAGTATACTGATTTCTACAAGCACAGCAACAGAAAAGTTCATGTGAAGGGTACACAAATGTTTATATAGAAAAGCTCTAGAAAAATAACACTCACTGGAAAAAAAATATCTTTTACTGGAGAAAGTAACAAAGGGACTGAGGGAAGAATGAGAGAAAGATTTAATTTTCACATACGACATTTTAAGATTTTTTTTTGTTTTGTTCTAACATACAAGTTACTCTTGAGATCTTCATGTATTTCCTGCCCTCAATACTGTTCAGAGTTTCAGATTTAAGAAAAATCCCATTATATTGATATTGTCATATATATTTTTTATACTAAAGGACAAAAAAGTCAACAAAATACATTATACTTCCTTTCCAGTAGACAAACCCCCACCACCACCTTTTGCTGTATCCTAACTGTTGCAGAAGAAACAGAGGTAACTTTTAGAAGTCAATGTTTGTACGTTCATGTTCTCTAACTGGGAAATCTAAGTAGGCTCCTTTAATAAGATTGTTTCACCTCTACCATAATTTAATGGTAAGTTTGAAACTCTTGACACTAAGAACTATAAAGAACTTGAATAAGCAGGGGACCTTCACCTTCACCCATGGAATTTGGATTAGTTCTAAGTGCTTGAATGAAGTTGTACCAAAATTCTTGTTCTGACACAGGATATCACTTATGCTTGTGTCCAAATGAACACAGTTCAAGAAAGTCACTTCCATTATGCCCTTCCAAGTTTTACTGCCAGTACTGAGTAACTGAAGCAGCTACATAAACCTCACATCACCCCACATGAAGGTCATAGGGCTGTGAGAATCACAA